ACGGTCCTCTACATGGGAGTCCAGCGACATAGCCATTATACTAACTGCTGGTCCCTGTTTTTTTTTTTTTTTAAGAGATTGTTGCTATAAGGCACGTGTGCTCACAGGAGAGACAGAGAGACAAAAAGTGAGAAATCACCCACCAGGGGGGATAGGCCACACTACAATCTCTTCTCCATTCTCCTCCTTGGATATTTGGTACGCATGCACACACACACACGTGAGTTTTAAGCCACTGGGTCCAGGACTCGAACCATAGTCGACTACATGGGAATCTAGCAACGTAACCATTACGCCATCTGCTGGTCCCCTTTTTCTGAGTGCTATTGAGCCGACTGTTAGAATGGAAGATGTTGTTTTACTTTCAAGTTACAGGATCCAGGGCGGTAATGCATTTAGAGTATACACCCAATTCATTTTCCCTAGATATGTATGTGCTTGCTTAGCAGCATACTTACCAGAATTGGGAACGTAATGTTAACCCATAATTATTTTGAGGCCTGGCCATCTTGAGAACTTTAATATTTAGCCTGCAGTACTGTCATAGCTGATTTTGTATCAAGCTGGTTATTTTTTTTGGAGTAAACTAATGCCTGTGACTAACGGGATGCAGGTCTTTAGTCTGAGATCGTTGAAGTATTGTTTAGTACATATCGAACTGATATCCCTCAAGGACACTTTCCTGAATACACTTTCCTGAAGCACTCCTGGGCGGATTGGATCTGGCCTATAATCATAAATACTATTATGTAGATCTTTTATTTTTTCTTTTAAAGAGAATTTTTGTTTTTGTTTTTGCTATAGGGTGTATGCACTCGTCAGAAAGACAGAAAGTAAGAAATCACCTCCCACCCCCTGGGGGGATGGCCACACCACAATCCCTTCTCCATTCTCCTCTCGTAATTTTGGGCATGCACGTGCACACGCCCGGTGTGAGTTTCAAGCTGTCAGGTCCGAGACTTGAACCGTGGTCAACTACATGGGAGTCCAGTGACATAACCATTATGCCATCTGCTGGTCTCTATGTAGATCTTAAAACTGGCTTGCTCTTGGTAAAAGCTGAGTCAGTGGCTAAGAGAAACTTCCCTGTATATCTACCCCTGCTGGATGATGGTGCAGGGGTAGAACATGATGCTCTGTAAGGCCGACCCTCATGGGAAGGTTCTCAGTTTGTATCCAGAGGCTCCCCTGAATATGCCAGGCTTGTGTGTGCCCATGGTCTGGGGTGGATATTGGTGTTAAGATCTTGTAGTCTAGTGGTTAAGGGAGCCAGATCCCACATGGCCAACTGCAGTTTAAGTCTCAAGCCCTGGCAGTTTGAAAAACACCAGACACATGTGCAAGCGTGCCTAGAATCCTGACAGACTGGAGAAGTGGAGAAGGGGTTGCAGCATGACTATGCCCCATTGGGGGCACTTTCTCTCTCTCTCTCTCTCTCTCTCTCTCTCTCTCACTTTTGGTCTCGTTCTCACTCCGTGAGTCTCTGTTTCTCTCTGATGAAAGTAAAAATGAATACCTTGCTAGAGGTTATCTTTCCTCTCCTCTCTCTTCCCTTTCCCCACATTATCCTTCATGAAAGAAAGATACAGTCATTAAAAAAAGTTAGCTGCCATTACTGTATCCATAGTTCTTATTCACAAAGATCCTTTAGTAGCCTTTGTAAGTCCTTCCTGTGTGCTCACGTTGACGACTTCCGTAACTTTCCCGTTGTCTAGGTTTGGAGCCGGTATGTTAAGAAGCTGGAGGACTTTGCTAAGCCGGAGAACATCGACTTAGCTGTGCAGTGTCTGAATGAACTGGTAACCAACGCCCTGCACCACATCCCAGATGTCCTCACCTACCTTTCGAGACTCAGAAACCAGAGTGTGTTTAACTTCTGTGCTATCCCACAGGTAGGAAATGGGGCTCCTCTGGTATAAATGGGGAGTAGGGGCCAAAGAGTGAGGTCGGATAAGGGTATAGAATGCAGTCACTGTTTTTGCTGTGCCGTATTTGGGATATGATTCCTTCCAAAGATAACTGCAGCTTATTTCTTTTTACTAGGGGTTTCACAGCATATCCCTTCATGTCCCCACCACACACACACACACACACACACACACACAACTCGGCCTTGAGGTTACATCTGCTCTTTTCCAACATTCCCTCTGGATTTACTGTTTTTCCCATCAGCTATTCTAAATTAGCTAGATTCTTGTGCTCACAGCTAAACTGAGGGCGTGGCCTTTAAATCCCTGGGGAGTACTGGGGGAAACGTGGGTGAAGCTGTTATCATTCAGAAGTCTTCGTTTAGCACCCAGTTATTGCTGTCTTATTTCTAGACTCAGGATAGTGAGACTTGATCCTATAAGCCCAAAGCTCCTTGATATTCTAGTTTATACTTTTTAATTGCCTTCATCAATTATTTCAGTTATTAATTCCAATAAGTGGAGAAAGTCATAAGACTTAACTGATTTGGAAACTTGGTCTGATCCTGTTCTAATAACCATTCTTGATTGGAGGTTGGAGCTCAAATCCATGTGCCTATCTTAGGTTTTTGTTTATCTAGAACTGCTTTACCTTCGAGCATGGGAAACTACCCCCTTCTGTTGTTTTATCCTGCCATGTTCGTTGTTTTTTTTATATAATGATTATGTCTGTTAAGAAAACTATAACGGAAAGGTAATTAAAATTCTTCCCAGATTGGGACCAGCAGGTGGCATGGTAGTTAAGGCACTGAACTCCCCCATGGCTGACTGTCAAACCCTGAACCTGGTTGCTTGTTTTCTCACTTTCCTTCCTCTCTCTGGTCAAATTAAAATGATAATGAATAAAATAAAATAAAATAAAATAAATAATTCTTGAAAAAATTCTCCCCCCCAGGTACTATTTTGGAATATACTTTAGATCTATTAACTATACTGCTTTAGCATGGAAAATATTGAATTTGCTTATTTTTTCCCCAAATAAAATGGAACTCTCATGGCTAAAGTACAGAATCATTTAAGATTGCAAAGACCTTGATTCTGTGTGTTGCTGAGGAAGAGAGGCATGGGAAAGGTAAAAACCTTCACGTATTTTCTTTATGGTTTTTTTTTCTCAGTTAGTTACATCTTAGCTCTTTGGCAACTGCCTAGACTTTTAGTTTTTGTTACAGGGCATGTGTGCTAACCAGAGAGAGAGAGAGAAAGTGAAAAATCACCCCCAAGGGTGATGGCCACAGCACAATCTCTTCTCCATTCTCCTTGGGATGAATGTTGGGCATGCATGCGTCCGTGCCCAGGGCATTTTTCAAGCTACTGGTTCCAGGATTTGAACTGTGCTGTTAGCCATGTGGGATCTAGCCACCTTAACCTCCACGCCATCTGCTGACATGTGGGATCTAGCCACCTTAACCTCCACGCCATCTGCTGACATGGCAATTGTCTATTTTAACAGTAAGTTTTCTTGCCTTTTCGTGATAATAGCGGCTTACAGTGCTATTTCTGACTTACCCCTCCCTCATTGTCTCTAGGTAATGGCTATCGCTACTTTGGCTGCCTGTTATAATAATCAACAGGTGTTCAAAGGGGTGGTGAAGATTCGGAAAGGGCAAGCAGTCACCCTAATGATGGATGCTACCAATATGCCAGCAGTCAAAGCTATCATATACCAGTACATAGAAGAGGTGGGTTTTTACTTAACTGCCTGCATTATTTGTGGCTACTTTTATGCTTTAACAATCTTCTGATAACTTTTGGACTTTGAAACTTTAGAATCCAGCAGTTCTACCAAAGGCATCTGTAGAAGGTTTAAGAGAAGACAAATCTTAGGAAAATTCTTAAGTTCCTTTAGTGACTAGATGAAAATGTGTAGCCATTGACTGAAAAATTATTACTGATGAGACTCTCCAGTTCCCCATGTAGACAGCTCTTATTGTGTTCATTATGTATTACCCACAGTAGGTGGGTACTGTCAATAATGTGGAAACTGGAGGTCCCAGCCTCATGGTCCATGACTTGGAACCAGATTTCTGACTTCAGAGCCTGCGTATGCTATAAACCATAATTCTAAGGGGGTCTAATGACCCTTTCTAAATGGAACAGAATTCTTTCTTTTTTAAAAAAGAATAATTTAATTTATTATTATTTTTAAAATTTTGCTATAGGGCACATGCGCTCACTAGAGAAAGAAAGTGAAAAAGTCAGCCACTGGGTCTCGAACCAAGATCAGCTATGTGAGAGTCCAGTGCTTTAACTACCATGTCACCTGCTGTGCCCAGCATTATTTCTTTATTATTATTATTACTATTATTTTTAAACTTGCATTCTTTTTTTTTTTTTTAATTTTATTTCTTCCGTGAAAGGAGAGATAGTCAGTTACCGCCCCCCTCCAAGAGGTCCTGACCCTACAATCCACCCTCAGCCTCAACCAGCCTGTCTCATGGGCACTCATTTGCATCTGACATGCCCAGGGTGCTCCTAGGACATGAACTAGAAACCTTCCCATGTAAGCCCAGTATTGTGAAGCATGTGGTTAACCACTGTGCCACCATCTGTCCCCTATTTTTCTTTTAAGTTCTTCCCTCCCTCCTAGATAGATATACTCATGACATACTCTCTCCATGCTGTAATTCTCCATCGCTCTCCATCCTTCCAGCCAGCTAGGATGACAGGCACACCCATGGGCATTTGAACCTGGAGCCTCCTATTTGACTTAAATATCTTGGAGGGGTACCCTACTGCCTGCACCTTCATGACTGAGCCCGCTTCTTTGTTTTCTATAAATTAGAAATGTCATCATCTTCACATAGTTGAGAGAATATTTTGGTTTTGCAGTTTTTTCTGATCAGTGATTATATCCTTTTTTAACTTGTTTGATCATTAATTTTAGAAAACCATTTTTAAAAATTATTTATTTAATTTCATTTATCATTTTAAAAAATTTTCTGCAGGGCTCCTGTGTCCACCAGCGAGAGACAGAAAGAGAGGAGAAAGAAAGTGAGAAAGCAAGCTGCCGGATCTGAGACCCAAACCGCAGCCTGCCATGTGGGAGTCCAGTGCCCCAACCAACGTGCCACCTGCTAGGCCCAAAACACCGTTTTTTAAAAATTCACGGGCAGTCCCATTAATCAATTATTGGGTCTTTGGAAAAGTCATGACACATTTTTGCCTAGAAAGACAGAAAAGGGACCAACATATGGTGTAATGGCTACGTCACTGGACTCCTACATAGTCCACCACGGTTCAAATGCCAGACCCCCCAGCTTAAAACTCACACCAGGCGCAGGTACACACATGCTCAAAATCCCAGGAGGGGAATAGAGAAGGGATTATGGTGTGGCCGTTCCCCCTGGGAGGTGATTTCTTACTTTCTCTCTCTTTGGTGAGAAGACATGCCCTATAAGCAAAACTCTCTCTCTCAAAAAAGAGAAAAACAGAGAAATACGTCATGACTTTCCCAACAAACTGATAAAATTCCATTTTTATCTGGGTTTTCTTAATGGTTGGAATTAAATCCTAGTTGTAATTCACGGATGGATTTAAGGCAAGCTTGAGAAATGATAGCTGGCTGACCTCTTTTGCAAATAATTTTTGTTGGGATACAGCTGCTCCTATTTGTTTCAGTATCGCCTGTGGTGCTTTCTGTGGTACAGCAGGAGAGCTGAGTAGTTACAACTGGAGGGTAACCAAAAGCTCAAGATACATTTAGTCTATGTAAGAAAAAGTTTGCTGATCTTTGATTTGGAACATCAGTTACTTTGTTTAAAGTGCAAGGTATTTTAGGAGAAATGTTAATATTAATAAAATTGATTTGACTTAGAAAAATCCTAAGATTTCTAAGTGTCATTTCTAAGTCTACTTTTCCAGTAAGAAAGGAAGACATTGCTTCTATCTACTCTGTACCTGCTGATTGTTGAATACACCTGGGAGGGACTTTAGAAAGGTTCTTTTTGGGGACCGTTCAGGCTTGAATGAAGCATTGGAGTGAAGCCCCAGGTCCTCCTGAGCAGATGAACACTGCTGTGCCCGGTCCTCCCATCTGGAGCAGCCTCAGCTGCAGAATAGCCTGAACACCTGTCAGTCGGGGAGAAGATCAACTAGCTATTTTGGGATAGAAATAAATGCTCAGACAGCCAGTAACTTTCATTCCCTTCTCTGCCAAAGTGAATTCCTTGGTAAGGGCAATCTTTTCCATGTCCCTGGAAGCTTCCTGTTTCACACAGCCGCCTCCCCCGCCCGGTGCATCTAGAACAGTGCCAGGCTCTTGTTCCAGCCCTGTTTATCTTTGCAGTCCAAGTGTGCACCTTGGCCAACAGCATCCACATTACCTGGGAGCTGGTTAGATTCTCAGGCTGGACTCACCATGGTCATACCACAATTCCTTCTCCATTTCTCCATCCTGTCAGGATTTGAGGTACACATGCACACAAGCCTGGTATGTTTTCCAAGCTGCCAGGACCAGGAATTGAACCACAGTCACCTATGTGGGATCAAGCTCCCTTAACCACTAGGCTGTGGGGCTGGCCCTTTGGGGAAAAAAAAAATTCATCAGGACCAGCAATTAGCATAATGGCTATGTCATTAGACTCCCATGTAGTCAACCACGGTTCGAGTCCTGGACCCAACGGCTTAAACTTACACTGGGCATATGTGTGTGCATGCCCAAGATCCCGAGAGGAGAATGGAGGAGGAGGGATTGCAATGTGGTCATCCCCCCTGGGGAGTGATTTCTCGCTTTCTGTCTCTCTGTCTTTCTGGCGAGCTCTCAAAGAAACTTCTCCAAAAAAAAAAAAAAAAAAAAATCATAGTAGAAAGTGCACGTGTGCACACGGGTAACAGAGAAGCACCCTCAACAGGATCTGTCCATACCACAGTCCCTTTCTCTAGCCCTCCTAGATTGTTAGGATCTTGGGCACCAGCACATACCTGACATGTTTTCGTGCCCACTGGGAATCTCAACCTGCTGTTGGCCAAATGGCTTCCAGTGCTAGTTTGCTATGAACTATGACACATGGCTGAACCTCTTAGGTGTTTTCAATAATAATGTAAAGTTCAAAAGGTCTTTCAAATGTTCTAACTTAATCAGAACTAGATTAATACGCTTCTCCTCCTAGGAGGAGAATGGAGAAGAAATTGCAGTGTGGCCTCTGGGGGGTAGTTTCTCACTTTCCCTCTCTGTCTCTCTCTAGAGAGCACACACACCCTATGTCAGAAATCTAAACAAACTGGGGGCCAGCAGGTGACGTGGTGGTTAAGGATGCTGGACTCCCACATGGCTGACTGCAGTTTGAGCCCTGGACTTGGCAGCTTGCTTTCTCACTTTCTCTGTTGCTCACTCGATCACTCACTCTGTCCTTCTCTGGTCAAATTAAAAATAAATAAATAAAGTTAAATAAAATAATTTTTTTAAAAAAACCTAAACAAACAAAAGTAACAAAAACCCCTGATAGTTCATGACTGAGTTTCTTAAAAAAGCCGCAGAGTTGTATTATAGCTATATATTTTTTTAGCCAGCACTGTAGCTATACCTTTTTAAAATTCAGCCTCACTTTGAAAAGCTAAGTCACATATATGAACAGGTCAGTAGCATCTTGATTAAAATCTTTTTCATTAAAATATGTACCTTTTGGGGGACCAGCAGGTGGCGTAGTTAAGGTGCTGGACATTCCCACATGGCCTATCACGGTTCGAGTCCCAGACTTGGCAGTTTGCTTCGGCACTCTTTCTCTCTCTCTGGGAAATTAAAATAAATGAATGAATAAACACAATTAAATAAATCATTATTCTTTAAAAAATGTACCTTTTGAAGGATGTTTGAAAAAGTAGCCATAGAATATATTCATAAGGTACCTCGTATTTAGTACACAGTACTGACCATTTTTTCTTCCTTTCACAGATTTATCATAGAATCCCCAACTCAGACCCATCTTCTAGTAAAACAAGGCAGATCATCTCCACTATCAGGGCACAGAATCTTCCCACTTGCCAGCTGATCTCTCGAAGCCACTACTCCCCCATTTACCTGTCATTTGTCATGCTCTTGGCTGCTCTGAGCTGGCAGTATCTGAGCACCCTGTCCCAGGTCACAGAAGACTTTGTTCAAACTGGAGAACACTGATTTGGAATTTACCCAGAAGCTAAAGTTCACCATGAAATGGACTTACCTTTTCTTCAAGGATGGATGTTGGCTTCTCTTTATTTTTTCTCTCCTATCCTAATCCTTCAATGAACTCTGTGATCCGGACCTTTAGAAACTGAAATGCAATTGAGAATATAACAACGAAAGGATACCTCACCCTCAGTACCAGGTACCAGGGGCAGTGCCACCTCCGCTTTCACTGAGAGCAGAGCATCCTGAGCTGCAGTTCAGGTGAGACGGCGGCACGTGGGACTGTCGTCGGATCTTAGTGTGAATCCTGGCTGGAATTATAATTCAATGTATTTCATTTGAAGCAACCTTTGAATACTTATCATCGTAGAAAATGAAGAGAATCTTCTTTTCATCTGCTTCTAATTTTTCCTATCATTTTGTTTTCTTTAATTGGCTTAAATGAGGTAGATATGGATGTTTATTGTCCTATTAATATTTCCGTATTTCCTAAGAATACAGACGTGTCTTCAGCACATGAAGTCTGGGAATAAAATTCTGGGTGTTCTGGTACTATTTTCTTATTTAAAGGAAGTTTGGTCTTTCAGGCAGAAATAGCAGAATTGCATTGGCTTCCATTTTAGAAGATCGACCCTCAGGAAAGGCTGACATTTTTTTCATTGTTATAATAAAGGATTTACTTACTCTGCATTGTCCAGTGCAGTTCACTTGAAAGCCTGCATGGCTGTGGTGCACCATGAAGCCAGCTGCAGGGCAGTGCCAGGGAGGGCACTACTGGTCAGCCTGCATGAGTGCTGGCAGACAGGCAGGCAGAATCCCCAACTCAGACCCATCTTCTAGTAAAACAAGGCAGATCATTGGCCTGTTCCCCACATTCACTCTGCCAGCCTATTCTTTAGGCTATTCTCTTAACTGCATTTAGACATTTTTTTTTGAGTGTTTTTGCTACAGGGCACGTGTGCTCGCCAGAGAGACAGAGAGAGAGACAGAGAAAGCGAGAAATCCCCTCCAGAGGGATAGCCATGCCACAATCCCTTCTCCTCCATCCTCCTCTCAGGATCTTGGGCACACACACAGACACACACGTGCCTGGCACCAGTCCCGGGTCTGGGACTCGAACCGTGATTGACTAGATGGGAGTCCAGCGACATAGCCATTACACTAACCTTCTGGTCCCTGCATTTAGAAGTTTTAAGGTTTTTTCCTCCCAGCTTTTTTCCTTTGTTTAAATGATCAGCTTATACACTGAAGTCTTAAAGACCAAAGGCTGTTTTCAGGTGGTTGACTGGAAAGCTGAATGGGCCTGGTCTGATTCTGCCACCGTGGTGTCGTCTTCCTCTGTCTCAGCACAGCTGGGGTTTGTCGTCTGTAGATGAAATACCCCTTCCCCCAAAACGGAAACTTCTTTAGCACCAACATGATACGACAAGTGGAAGATTTCGCACCTGACCTCATGTGACAAGTCATAGTCTCAACAGCATGGTGGAAATAGATTGTATAAAATTACCCCTAGGCTATGCTGATAAGGTATATGTGGAACATAGGTGAATTTTTTTTTCCTTTTTTTTTTTACTGTCCACGGTATTTATTTATCAAGGGAATCTACTCTTTAGCCCATATATTCCTGTTTCATAGTTCAGGAACATGGCGCCAATCCAATGACATTCCTTATATTCCAAACTCACTTTGTACTCTGAAAGATACCAGCCTTCCTCATCTCTTCAAAATCTTTCACTGAATCTTAATTTCTGTAGAAATCTGCATGTCTTCTTTCTTGGTTCAGCCAAAGCAAACTTACAGAAAGCTGCACCACTCAGGGATACAATGACTGCTCCAACAATGTGAAATCGCAGACGCTCAGCCAGAAGGCCATGCATCTGAGGTTTTGCCAGAGTGCTGGAAGCCATGCCAGTTACTGTGCTTCAACACTAACGTCTTTCCAAACATAGGTGAATTCTGTGTTTAGACATGGAAGCTGTTTTTAATGAGACATTATGTATATGCAGATATTCCAAAATCTGAAAGCTAGTCTGAAATCAGAAACATTTTGTCCGAAGCATTTTGGATAAGAGGAGACTCAACTGTACATTGGCCAAGAGTGGCTCGCTGAGATTCTCAGGGTGGCCAAGGGAGTACACGCCCCCTCACTCGGGGTGTGCTTAAAAAGACTCGCAGATTGAGAATCAGTGTTGTAAGGCTCTAATTATAGACAGAACATTGCTCTGGTGTTGTAATCCACTGTGTATGGTGAGGTAACTATTGAATCTTTTCCACCAGTAATGTTGGACGTGGGTGTTTGTACACACGCACATACTGATTTTCTTCATGTAGCCACTGGCACCATCTGAAACTACTGGCTTTGTGTAGATCCAGGGAGACTTCGGTTAACTGGTTAATTTGAGGCTCAATCCTAGACATTCCTTGTCCCCATGCAGAAACTAGTAATTAATCACATAGGGTATCCTTAGCTATAAACCAGATTTCACAGTAATTGAAACATTATAACTTGGTTTCAGATTTCAAGGTAGGTTGTTACAATGCATGTGTGGAAATCTAAGGCTTAGTTAAGACAAAGGGCAACCTGGTTCAAAGAGCCTTGGTCAGAGGTGGACATAGTGGAAGCTTCTCTACTGACTCAGCATTACTGTGGGACCTTCTGAGCTGTGCAGGGTAGGTTCTTTTCTGACATAAAACTATGTCATTTTTTTCCTGCTATCCGTAACCTAGAAGTCTTAGCTCTGATCCCCACTCCTAAGCCCTCTGAAAGACGGCCTCCTAAGTATGTTTGCTACTAAGGTGGTTAGATAAAATACAGGTACCCAGTTAAACTTTTACTTTAGATAAACGATTTCATTTTTTTAAAATAGAATTATACCACAAATATTGTGTAGAACATTTATACTAAAGAATTACTTGTTTATCTCAGATTCAAATTTAATTGAGTATCTTGTATTTCTGTTTACCAAATGTGGCAACCCGAACACACTTTGAATGCAGTTGTTAATAATAAAACATTTCTAGCATAGTCTGTTTGGTTCCTGCTTCCAGGGGAGGACTTTCAGTTTTTCTCAGACCCATCTGAATCTGTAGATTTAGAATAAGAAACAGGCCCAGCTACTGTGGCACAGCAGTGACACAAGTGCCTTGCAATGCTTGAAGCCACGTGGTTGACTGTGAGTTTGGATCCCTGGGGAAGCTTGAAAACATGCCGGAGCACGTGTGTGTGTGTGTGTGTGTGTGTCCAGGATCCTGAGGAGATGGAAGGCTGGAGAAGGGATCGCACTGGAATGAGACCCCTGTCAAAGGTGCTTTCTCCTTTTCTGTCTCATGCTCGTCTATATACTATAATTTTTTCCCTAAAGATAGATTTATTTTATTTTGTTTGTTATTATTTTTAAAATTTGTTATAGGACATGTACTTCCCAGAGAGAGAGAGAGGGTGAGAAAGCAAGGTTCGGGACTCAAACTGCAGTTGGCTATGTGGGAGTCCAGTGCCTTCACCAATACACTGCCTGCTGGCCCCTACATACCATAATTTTGAAAAAAGAAAATGAACAACATTTGGTAGTGAGAGCCTGATCTCCACATTGTGAGGGCTTCTGGAGATGTATTTAAACTTGGGCGTGCCTGGGGCCAGACCATGGGATAGTGTAGAGCGGTGGGGCTGACCCACGTGAGAAGGTTCTGGGTTCACATCCAGGCCCTCCCTGAAGATGCCAGGTATAACATGCTCAGGGCTGGCTGGGACAGGAGGTAGATCACAGCATCAAGACCCCATTGGAGGGGCTGACTCTCCCTCCCGCTTCTGGAGGGAAAGAATGGAAACAACTTGTGCACTCCCTTCTCCCTTTGAGTAAGTGCCTGGAGTGACAGGGCCATTCCCCAGAGGTCCAGGATATGTGCAAGAGGGCAGTGGGGGAGCCAGATGTGTTGACGAACAAGGATTCTAGGTTATTCTTAGTTTTGAAAACAGCTCTCAGGCTATAGCTCTCAAAACTAAAGCGAGCATCACAGTTCATACTAGGACCAGCAGCCGACTCCGTCGGTCTGGTGTGCCCAAGATTTTGCTCTCCTCGGTTCTCAGACGCTGCTGCTGCTGGTCAGGGTACTGGGGCGTTCAAAGGCATTCCTCAAACTTTGGTGCAGTTCAGAGTCACCTGGGGGGTCTTGTTAAAATGCAAGTGCTTGTGCTAGGGTCTGCATTTTTTTTTTTTTTTTATTTTGGAGAGGTTTTTGCTATAGGGTGTGTGCGCTTGCCAGAAAGACAGAGAGAGACAAAGAGATAGGAAGTGGGAAATCACCCGCAGGGGGGATGGCCACGCTGCAATCCCTTCTCCACCATTCTCCTCTCGGGATCTTGGGCACGCACGCACACACGCCCAGCGTGAGTTTTAAGCCACCGGGTCCAGGACGTGAACCGCGGTTGACTATGTGGGAGTCCAGCGTCATAGCCATTACGCCAACTGCTGATCCCTGTGCCCAGTGATTTTTAAGCCACCAGGTCTGGGATTTGAACTATAGTCAGCCATGTGGGAGCCCAGCTTCTTAACCACCATGCCACCTGCTGAGTCCCTACCCTTTTTCTTATAAAAGAGAGAACATAATGCGCAAGTGTGTTTGTCTACTTTGACAGGGTCTCACCATATTGCAATCCTTTCTGTCCCAGCCTCCCAGTTAGCTAGGGTCACTGGTGCGCCTAAGTTAAGCTGGGAACTGAACCTGGGCCCTCCCATGGGCCCTCAGCCACTGCGCCATGGTATACGAGTGCTTTTACCACTGCAGCTGGGCTGATTCCTAATTTCTGAGCCACATCAGAAGCCGTTTTTGGTGCTTTTAGAGAACTCACCCCAGCCAGCCTGTGGCCTGATACTTGAGGCAGCTGGATCCCACATGGCTGACCGTGTTGTTTGAATCCTGGACCTGATGGCTTGGAAAACATGCCAGGCTTGTGTGTATGTGTGCCCAGACCCCAAAAGGAGGGAGAAATGGAGGAAAAGGGATTGTGGTGTGGCCATGCCCAGTGGTGGACGCTTTCTCCTTTCTCATTTTCTCTCTCTCCTCCCGGCGAGTGCATGTTCCCTCTAGCAAATAAAAAACTAAAAGACCTAACCCAATTCATGTTCTCAGTTAAGGAAGGGAAGTAAATAATTATCAATGGGCCAGTGAATGAGTGCTGACTCTTCTATCGAGTTTCCTCTGTTCCCTCAAGAATGTGTCAAAATAAACATATCAAAATAACTTTGATTCTTAATTAGGGCTATAACAAAAGATTAGTTCCGAACCAGTGATGTAAGCTGGTGACACAGAGAACTCTCAAAACAGTGCACACCAGCTCTGGCTCCTGTCCATACAGCGGAGGGCACCAGGGCCACGTGGGCCTCTGGTAGGGTAGCATCTTGACTAGGTGAGACGCCAGCATGCCATGCCTGTATCCTATACGCAGACTCCTCAGGCAAGTTGTTGCTAGTTAGTTTGTGGTTAATAAAAAAAAAAAAAACTTAGCTTTTTTTTTAAAAAAAGAATTATTTCATATTATTCATTGTCATTATTTTATTTTTTTTTAATTGACCAGAGAGAGACAGAAAGAAGGAAAGTGAGAAAGCAAGCTACCAGGTCCGGGACTTGAACTATCATCAAGCCACATGTGAGTCCAGCCACCTTAACTACCATGCTACCTCCTGGCCCCAAAAAACTCAGCTCTTTAAGCAGGAGCAAGCTCATCAAGGCTGGAGACACAATTCAGGAGATGGGTTTGCAGAAAAGGGTTGATCAGGATGACGGAACAAAGAGAAGGGTGCCGTTGTGATACATGGGGGAGCAGTGAGACATTAAATGAGGTCGCGGGAGTTTAAGGGAATGTGGTTCCTGGACAACATGACTCTTTCTGGGGATAAGGACAGACAGCAGTTACAAGCCCATGAGCAGTGAGTGACAAGTGATCTTTAGACCCAAACAGAACACAGACTTCAAGTTGAAGGAGAAACCTTTTATTGGCACAGTCATTCCTTGTTAAACTATAGGGAGAAGCAGTGAATTTTTTAAGAAACAGTAAAATCTGGTTTCTCTCGAACTAGTTTCACTGTGGTAGGAGAGATCGGTAGTGAGCCAGCAAAATCAGGACTACACAGTTGAGTTTTAAAGTTGCACCAGCAGGAGACGATTTATAAAACCAGTTATGCACGTCCAGCCATTAGGCTTGTTCTTTCACCTGATCAGCTGAGGTGCACAAAAAATAAAATTTCTATTAAAAAAGAATCATGCCAAGACAAGACCAGAGATGCAAAGATGGATGGAGGGGCCCTGGGAGAATGTGGCTTTCTCCAAAGGGCTGCCACCACCCCTTGTCTCCTCTGAACCTGTGGAAAGCTAGAGGGCTGCTTGCTTAGAGATGCTGCTGATAGGCGAGAGTTGGTCATCTTGTTAGGAACTCCATTTTCTGCTCCTTTGGAAATAGCTGCAGTCAGGGCCGTCAGGTCTGTCTGTCTGTCTTCTGGAGATGCACGGGTGGGAGTGGGGGTGGGAGTGGAGGGGTCACAGCAGGAGCTGGAGCGGCAGGCACTACAGACAGCAGTAGCCTGGGGGTGGGGGGACTCACTGTGCCTGCAAGCCGGGGGACCAAGGCGCGTCCTCCCTTGACAG